ATTTTACCTGGGGTCATCCAGATTAACAAATCAATCCACATCCCTAAAATTTATTCTCAGGATGATCAAGGTGTCAAAATGTAGCTTAAAATGTAGAAAATGTTCTTGGTAATCAGGGACATAAATTAGGGTTGCTGAGAAAAAGAACTGACATTGCGATTTTTTTTCGGACCCTAATGGTAAATATTGCGATATAAAAAAAACTGCAGGAATTTTTCAACAAATTACTTGAATAACACTTAAGATCTGCTGCCATCTTGTTGGCGATGAACCTGAACTGATTTCAACTCTTCTATAAATGTTTGAGAAATTAACGAATTCTGTTTTCTGCCCTTTTTGCAGGAGAGCATGTACAGAACTCTGATGAAATGGAGCAACTCTGTGAGACATTTAGCCCTTTATTCAACTAAAAATTTAAATGCGGTCCTCCTTTTGATCTTTAAATCGATATAAAAAAATAACTTGATTGTTTTTCAGCACGTTCCAGATCTGGAGTCCCTGCAGGAGCGGCTGGTTATCGTGGAGCTCTCAGAGACGTCCGTGTCGCTCATCATTGCTGTCATGAAAAGCGTGACGCAAGTTGCTCCCTTCGTTAGCTTCCTGCCTCTCGCCAACAGAGTATGACAAAAAAAAAATGTGTGATTGAATGGAGAAAACTCTCTGCTTATATTTTACTTATTTTTTTTGTGTTCCCTCTTTATTCATCACGCTCACTCTCATTTCTACAAAGACACAATGATAAAATTCTAGCTTGTATCGCCCCATGCTTTGTGCGCTACAAGTTTATGTGGTGGATCACCCTCAGCTGCTACGGCACCAAATTGTACCTCAATATGTGGGTGCTCGGTTCAAAATTAGCTTACTTTTTGTACTTTTTTAACGCGGGACAGGAAAGGATTTCAGGTTATTTGAAATGATTCAACATTAAGGGCCAAAGTCTGCCTGAATTTTTCCAGTTTAGAAAAATAAAATACCTCGCTAATCCAGCTTGAAAGAGTAGGTGGAGCTTCAGATTTCCAAATTAGCAGTATTAGCTTCGTAGCTAGAAGAGTTATGAATGTTCTAAGTCTTTTTTTTAGCTGAAGAGGGAGCAAGTGAAATAGGCCATACTTGAAACATGACAGTTGCATTATTATTTAGAAAAAAAATTTTCAGATTAGTACCTCTTTGTAAACAGACAGCTGTGAGTAATTTGCTGTGGTTTGTTAGCGTCGTTCACACTACAATGTATTCTTTTTTCCCCAATAGATTTGCATTGAGATGACTGAATCCAGTGGTGTAACTCGAGTGATAAAGAAGATCCAATCTCAACAATGGTGAGTTTCAAATTTACAGTCTGAACAGTTTAAAACGGGAACCCTAAGCATCATTTCTTATTTTACCTCTTTCTCCTTTCTACGTAGGAGTAAAGTTCGACACGCTGAGTCGTGAGTATTTCACATAAAGAGTGGTTAAACAAACTGTGAGAAATCATCTTCACGATGAGCTTTAAACAATTGTTTCTTGATAAAAACAGTTAAGTACGTCAGATGACTGAAATCTTAATGGTCAAGAAACCTGTGTGTTTAAGTTATGGGGCTTTTATTGTTGTTACATGAGAGTTTGACTTGTATAACATCTATTGTAAAACTTGTGATTGATGATGAGAATTTTTAGTTTTTCTGTTTTAAAAAAAGTGATCAAGTTCTTTCAACTACAAGAACTTTTAGATGACTTAGAGTCTGACCAGTTTAAAAACAATAAATGTAATTAAACAGTAGTAACACCAAGATTTATTTATTTATTTTTTTACATTTTCAGTTCGAAGAGTCTTAATCAGCGTATACAACAATTCGGTGAGATCTCCGTAAACCTTGATCTGGAAAACTATGTCCTCACTTTAAACCCTATAAAAGCCACGACACACAAACCAGAGCCGCCTTTAGCTGAAACTGCTGACGTCCAGGAAGCTGCTGCAGAATCCAAAGGCCCGTCCTCAGCTGCCCAGATGCCTCAAATTTGCAACGAAAAGACGGAACTAGCTGCAGCCAAAACCATAGACGTACCATCTGAGTTGGCCGGGTCAGAGAAACAGCCCGATGCTCCCGTAAAGGTTCAGGACTCTGAAGTGGTTCCAGCAGAAACGGTCAAAGTTGAGTCGAAAGAGGCCAAACCTTCAGAGCTGATGGAAACAGCCGTAACAGAGCAGACGGAGCTTGAAGGTTCTGTTGAAACCAAAGCAGAAACGACAGCAGAAACCAAACCCTTACAAACTAAACCCAGTGAAAGTCAAACAACCCCAACACCTGCACCTTCCACTGATCCTCAGAGACCACAGACCACCTTCAAACCCCAAGAAACCCCAGCGAAATCTTCATCAGAGGTCCAGAAAAGCTTGCCAAACTCCGACACTACTCACTTAAAACCCAAAACAGACACGTCACAGAAGCAGCAGCAAACTGCTGAAGAATCTGGTAGGTTTAGTTCATCTCCTAAATGCAATAAAGCTCTAACAGTCCTTTTACTCAGGACCGGCCTGTGGCATAGGCAGTATGAGCAAATACTCTAAAGTATATTTGATTTAGTTTAGAGAATAATCACAGGTTACTCAAGTTGTTAATACTATTTTTGGTTCATAAGAGTTGCACCTCTTTATTTACATTTTACAAAACTTTGGCATTTGTAATTTGATTTATGTAACAAAAATGTTAATAATGAAAATATCCCTGTAATTGTTTTGTGAAGGTCCTGTGTCTGAGAAGAGTCAAACATCTGAGATCAACGAAGCATCTTCTGCAAAAGAAGTAGCCGCGGGATCATCAGAACTTGATCCAAACCAACAATCTGCTACTGTAGGAAACGAAACTACTGCAAATGAAACCACTTCTGCTCCCGTTGTCGTCTCGACTCCCGAAGAGAATAGCCAAAATTTCCAGACAATAACAAAAAACATCCGTAAGAAATATTTATAAAAGGTTCAAAATGTCTGCATGTCATACATTTCCTGCTATACTTTTCATCAATCTTTAACTCTTCTCCACAGAATTTTTGTCTCTGAAAAACATCTTGTTGCCCAAAGTAAGTATAATCACTGAAGACTGAAAATTGCCATGTATTGACCCTTTGCACGTGACGTCACACGCCTCAGAAGACCGCCCATTTTTGCCATGTTGGATGGCAAAAACAGACATCCGTCCATAAACTGCTACTGAGCTAGAGGAGAATCAGGCACTTGGTAGCCTAATATTGTTCTTTCCCCCCTGTTGATTTAGCTGTTTGAATGGTCTTAAGCTGCTGCGCAGTTGGCCAGTGGACCGGAGTGTCTCTCCGGTTTCGGACCGAGCAGTAACGGGCTGAAGACGCTGCGCTGCTGGTTCTAAAATATTAAAATCTCTCTGTCTGCCCACCCGCAGCACTCCGTGTCATAGTGAAGATATAAACAACAGTGATAGCTGGAAATATAGTTGTTTTTACTCAATGTTGAAGCAGTGTTGTTGAGTGAAAGGTCGGAGAAGCTTTTATTTATTTATTGTTTCCACGCTGATGGAGTAAACACAAGTTGGGCATTCAGGTGGTCATAAAATCAGACCAGCTGGTCATCAAAGCTGTTCATCTTTTTAATTTAACTGGGAATGGATCATTTCAGCTAAATATCGAACAGAAAGAAGCGCAGCTCCGAGCGCTGTTGTAACCCGGAGCTGTTTAACATGAAGAGAAGCTACTGACTTGTTAGCTTGCTAGCCGTTGTCGGCTTTCCGCTTCGAGGTGCTCAGTAACCCGAAAAACATCTAGAATCACGTATGGGATTGGCAAATAAAAATACATAAGCATTAACAAGCAAGTCTTACCTTCACCATTATGAGATATCTTGTCCCTCCATGTAAGAGTAGCACCCTGTCCCAGTCAACCCATCCAGCAACAAAAAACTGATAAGCATCCAGGCTTTTGTATGCYTTTAAGTCAGCTCCAGTGTAGGGGGAAACACCATTTATGACATAGTGGTATAGGTCATGTGGTGTAAATTCAGGCAAAGTTTGCATTTTGATCAAATCAACAAACACATCCGGAGGGAGAAGATATGGGTCGATTTCTAAGCTAGCTATGTCCAACTTCTGTAAATAACGCCAGTCTGTGAGCCCCAACTAGGTGTGCGAATTCACAGATAATTTATCTAAACTTGAACAAGTAGAAACCATGGCTAAAACAAAAAAAATAACTTCAAAAAACAATCACTGACATTCAAGTCAATACACCGCTCCGTGTCTTCTGCCGTCTGACATGCCGGTATCACATGACTTTGTCACGTGGTGCAAAGGGTCAATAAAGGCAAATCTTTTTTAATAAAATCTGTTCTATGAGGTTTAGAAGGTTAAAATATATCACTCAAAATAAAAAAATAATAGTCAAACTGCTTATTTCCCACCAGTTTGTTAGGCACTTTTATATTAATGCCGTTTAAAATATTTATTATTTTACTTGATTATAAATATATTATTTCTTTTTTGAATCTTTTACCTTAGTCTCCAACATTTTGTTGGTTTTCCCTCTTTAAACCAAACTGATTTTATTTACTTATTTTGTTTATTCACCCATTTGATGTGGACATTTATAAATGTTTTTGTTTTCTCTCCTCTCATCTCCTGATTATTTCCAGTTCCTTTCAAAAGAAATTTGTCTGATCGTAACCAATTTGCCAGAGTACAATGACGGCTCTTACACAGAATCCAGCATCATCAATCTGCTCCGAAAGTTTGGATTAGAATTCGAAGATGACAGTGTTTTCATCGCGCCTCAGTATCAAACGGTTTGTAACATATTCAGCTTTTTTTTATCCTTTCTGCTGTTTTTATCATCTTCAGCTGTTTTAGTCATTTTAGCGGTCATATCATGTCAACTGAAAGATTTTTCTTATGATTTAACCAGTTGAATTGTTCAACTAAGTAACAGGTCGGTCTTGTAAATGAGACATTGGCTGTGTCCAAAACAGCAGGCCGGGTCCTCCGAAGGCCGAATTCGTTGGCCGCATACGTCACAGCGCCGCGACGAAGGCCGTCCAAAAC